GTGATTGATTTTGCTGGATTGCATGGTTTGCAGGGCCTGGGTTGCTAGAGCTAGCTGGAATTAAGGGTTGGAGTAAGACTAGATATGGCCTGACAGGATTTTTAAGGAGCTTGGGTTGGAGCATGGAGCAGAAGAGACCACTGGGCAAGCTTTAAGACTTCAGCCACCATGGGCGTTTTATCTAGGCTTAGGTTTACAGCTGTTGCTGGCCTAGGGTTAATAGTGGAGTTTGTTCAAATGAGTTGAACTAGATTTATGTCTGGCTCCTACAAAGACTGCCAGACTGGGTTTGTGGGATGAAGAATTAGACATCAGATTAATTGGACATCAGATGAATTAGACATCAGATGTTCTTTTAGGTTCGAGCCTTTGAATGCAGGTTATTGGAGGGATTTGTGTACAGCTGCGCTATAGAAATCTATCATGATGTTTAATTTATTCTCTTTACTAAATTCACAGCAACCTCTGAAAAAGCTGGTAACTTTTTACGATCGCACACTCACTGGTTTGGCAGGACAAGATAATCAGCAGCTAAAACAAACTTGGGGAAAGTTTGTCCATAGAACCATCTCTAAAACATACCTTGGTATAACCCATTTCATCCGGTTTGTGTCATTTCTTTCAAATAGTTATGTCTCTGTGCCCCTCATTCTATTCACTTATTTATATATGCACCACTTTTCCATCACTGTCATTGCTATTGCTATTACAGTTTACCTTGCAGGTGTCTTATCAACATGCCTGGCACCAAAACAGTCCTGGGAGCTACTCTGTACATGTTCAAATCTAATATGTGGTCACATTTTATTGTCCAGTTCCTAGAGAGCAAAAAGGTGCATTACTTATCCTGGTAAAAAGCAAACTGTCTAGAAAGGCTTTGTGCTAGGAAAGCTAGGCTAATTTTAAGCTGGAGACTTACAAAGGAAGCTCGTTTATGGCTAGATTCCGCATCAGCGTAGACTTCCATGGGTTAGGTTAAAAGGGTCCGGGAAGCTTGGTTTTGTGGTGTATATGGCAGGGACTATGCGGTTATTTCTGAACCTAAATCTGTCTAGAGTCACCTTTACTGTATCATTGATTCCATCATGCACACTGTGCCTTTAATCCATCAAATATGATTACTTCTCTCATCCCAAACTTCAAACAACTCCAAGAGGCTGCAATGGTTTTAAAAGAAAGCTTCTTAACTGAAGTTGCCACGGATACATTTTATTTTCCCTGAAATTATGTAACTTACACACTAAGATGGGGAATAATCAGCCATGCACCAGTAAAATGCTTAAGATGAGCTTTCAATGCCCTATCAAAGATAAAAATGGACATTTCAGTAAAAAGAGGACATTTTATCCATCCCAATGGAGCATGCAATATCTATGCATAGATCTGAAAGATCATGATATACCAGTATGCAAAGCTAGGCTACTCTCTGCATGCCTGCTGCTGAGTTTGCCTTTTCTACACCAAGCAGCAAGCAATGCCCTTTAGCTTCCCACCGCTATAAGGTTCAAACCCCTTTATTTCGAATAGGCTTAAGCACCCACACATGGCACCTGCTTTATCCCACCTGTGCTCTGCAGCCACGGTTGCCCTCTTCCTTCTTCTTGCCAATTGCCTCCATTCCCCCGTCCCTGCTGCCCTCCCTCCCTCCACAGTCCCACCAGCTCCGCTCCCTCCTCTTGACCTCAGGCTTCCTCCTTACTCCTTCTGACATGGGGCCCAACACAAGCCTCTTTCACCAACACCATTTCTGCTTCTTGGACCCTCATAGTTGTCCCATGTCATCTCACAGGGTCATTCCCTTTCTTCTCTCTTCCTTCTCCTCTTTCTGGAGCTTCCATTGTATCTCTGACAGGTCACAGTCACTCCCATCAGCTCTTGGCTTTCATGGACACTTGAACGTCTCTCTATCAGGCTCTACCTCTATTTCTAAGGGACCTCCTTCTCCAAGGCTTCCCAAATTGGTGTCAGGCTCTGAGGGCACCACCAGACCTTGCTGTCCCAGCCCAGTCCCCTGGGAATCCCCCCACCCTGTCCATGGCCCAGGACCCCATGTCAGCCCCTGTCGACCCATGTTAGCCACACTGAAGCAGGGCCTGTCTCCAGCTCCTCACAGCCCTGCCCAGCCACGGGCCCCCCTGTGGCCCACCTTCCACAATTTTGGCCCATGCCTGTCCTAAGGGAGGTGCCAGGCCCTGCCCGACAGACCTGTGGGCAGCCCCCAGGGAGCAGATGGCCTTTGCAGTGCCCTGGCACACAGGCCATTAAGAGGGCTTCTTTGAGTGACATCACAGCTCTTCCCACTCTCTAGGTTGCCATCAACTTCTGGTTACCCAATTCCTCCACAACAGCCCTCCTTTCTGGCTTTTCTTCCAGCTCTTTCCCACCCCTTGTGCTCCACTGTTTTCATCTCCATCGTGCTGACTTAGGCCTAAGCCTGCCCGCAGCGTTTCCTCCCACACTGGGAACATCAGAGATGTGCAGGCCGTTGCAGAAATGTGAAAACAACGGAAAGCCCTTTCATTACTGTAGCCACTAGAGGCTGAGTTAAAACCTGCATCTTTCTTCTCCTGAGCCTACATATCCTGCATCAGTTCTGGAGAAGAAGAGTTTGGTGGCAGCGTGTCTAGTTGACCCTGAAATCTGAGTGGTAGGAGTTGTGACAATAAGATCTGTTTCTAAAATAAATGATATGGAATGGATCCGGACAGGAGTCAAACTGCAGGAGCTGAAGACAATCCTGAAAATTTATTTTTCCTACCCTGAAACAGATGATGGTCAAAGATCATCCATCCTTTTCACTGCCTGAACAAGCAGTACAGTAATAGCAAGTTAACTCTGACACAAAGGGTTGTACACCTAGCAGGGGAGGGCCAAACAGAACAAAAAGGCTGAAAGCACAGGTGGATAAACGTTTAAAATAATTCCAGTGCAACAGATGAAAACGGTCCCCCCCACACTTCCTTCTATATCTGCCCCACGAATGTTTTGCGTGCATTGCCCGGGAGTGTTGTATGCAAGACAGCTTTGTAGTGATGCTATTCGGATGAAACCAACACCTCGCCAGCACTTGGGCTTGCCGTGTTTTAGCTAGCTCTCCGTTTAGCTCGCCTGGTTACAGCAAGCAAGGGAAACATTCCTTCAGTGGCACATCGCCACCTTGTGGAGAAGTTTAATTAGTGCAGCTCTCAGTTTCCTAGAGGAGGAGGTGGCTGACGTTAGGTCAATTAGCTTCAATTTAAGTTGGAGTCTAAATGAATTTCGGGTGGTCTATGGTCTTGTCTATACTGAGGAACTGACTTGCATAGCTGCAAGAGTTACTTGTAGGTACTATCGTTTACACTGCTGAAACAATTTGTAATGTGCCATGATGACTTCCAGTACTCTAGGCAAAACTCTAGGCATAAATAGGTTAGTGGATATAGGGCTCACTGTTCATATTGAGATGTATTGAAGTTCTAGCTCTCCTTAATTCAGGTAAGACTTTGAGCCTTGGTCTCTTACTTTACCAGGGTATTGGAGACTTCAGCTGAAGTATATCACAATGTCTTTGTTGAAGTTGTTTTGTTCTTGCATAAATGTGAATGGGAGCTGGAAGACTGTTCTAAGGCTGCTGCAAACAAAAGGAGATTGTTCTTCACAGAGGATAGTTCAGCTGCAAATCTCCTTGTCACAGAGTAATGTGAATGCTAGAAGTACATATATGGATAAAAAAAAGGGGTTGCACAAATTCATGGAATGAAAAATTGCTGATAGCTGCTAAACACAAAATGCCACATCTGAATTACAAATCACTAGAGGCCGGGAAAGTAGATGAATTTTGGGCCTCACATGTTCCAGGGCACCAGAGGTAGATACCCTGACTGGCTACTAGGATACAGGCTGTTTAATTCTCTCTCAACGAGTGCTAATTCTTTTTGTAAATTAGAACAGCTTCACTAAGAAAGGTTGAAAAGAAGAATCTCTACACAGGTCATAGCCTAGTGCAACATCTCCAAAGTACAACAAATGAACTGTCTCATGGTAGCACATGACAAAGGTTGCCATTAGGCCTCCAGCTCCTTCCCCATCTCTATGTTCAAAGAGTGAGAGGCCCCAAAAGCCAGCCTCAGACAGAGCCTGCCCGCAGGCACTGACAGGAGCTGGGCATGCCTCGCTGAGAGCTGGCCGGATGCAAGTGCCCATCAGCACCTGCCCACAGTCCTGCATTTGCCATGCTGGGCTGTGTGGAGGCTCAGTGTTCCAGTCTCCTCCTAGCATCAAACATGCCAGACATCTGAGTATCAGCTTTCTGCTTCCTAAGAGCACACCCTGGGCATCAAGCTGTGAGATATTTAGGGGGTATCTCTCCTGTTCTTTGCACTTTCTCTCCTGTTTTTTCTTTTTTAATTGGAAGGACTGTGATTTGTTTGCCATGGAGAGCAGTGAAACTTGAATCTCAAACAAAGAGAAATGCCAGGAGAGAAAAACTATTTCTTGTTCAGGTCTATAGCTACAATAGCTACAAAATTACAGAGCAGCCTAGAATAATTATCATCTAACAGCTTCCAGAGTAGGCAATCCAGTTTTTATTTCTCTAAGCTAAAACATAAATTATCAACAGCATTTTCTGCAGAGGCTGTATAAAAACCCTGTTGTTCAGTCCAAACCCACATGATCTCCTGACTGGTGCACTGAAAATAAGTTGAAAGGCAGCAAGACTATAGAAAGCCTTTCAAAATTGTTCACATTGAATAGAGACAACCCCAAAAGCCCATTGGGAAGGCCTTTTCTTTATCAACTGATGGCAGAGCCCTGTGTGTTCCTGACAGGACTCAGCTACGCTATCAATCAAAGCGACTGAAATCCACCGCAAAGCCAATTCAGCAGCTCTGATGGCTGGAGTAATTCAGCATGAACATAATTGCTTTTACTTAGTATTATAATTAGGACCCATTTGACAAATGTCACTCTAGCTGGGCCAGGGATAATGATCAGGCTGTAATGAGTTCTGGGATCCTTACCTTCTGGGCCATGGCTCCCTGCGTGCTGTGGAGAGAGCTGCATTCCCCTTCATGGTATTCTTCTTTACATTCACGGCAGAACACAAACTGGAAAACAAACCAAAGCACACAAGTCATAAAAGCACATTGGGGATATAGACAGCAGGTTACAATCATGAAGAGTCATACAGCAGATGATCCTTTGCCCTTCTCATCCCATTAAATTCCCATACTCCTCCTAATTGTGCATCTTATTATACACTCTGATCATTAACACAACAGTTTTGCTGTTATTATTATACATTTCATCAGTGAAGTAACATAAATGCCATTATTAAAAATGAGATTTTGCTACATGGTCCATTTAGAGACATAAAGTCATACTAGATACTTCTGGGTGTGTTCCTCCTACAGTGAAATCTGTGCATACAAGGGTGTTGGATGAAATAAGCAGTTCTGCTTGATAGTGTTTACTAATGGAAATAGTCTATTCATAGTTCTGAATCAAATGCATTCTCTATGGAAGACTATTGCTGATTTTACTAGGGGATGATCACTTTGCGTAAGTCATATGAAATACCATTTTCTAGCAAATCATATCCTTGCCATGGACTTTTATAGAATGGTTTAAAAAAATCCATAGAAAGAACACAATGATAGATTAGTTAACATGGGTTTTAAGGTACTGCCTCTAGACCCTTACTGCATGTCTAACAATTGTTCTGGTTTCATCTTCCTTAAGAAGATGCTGTTTTTTACATAAGGCTTCATTTGAAAGTAATGTCTGTTGCAGATGAATAAAACAATAGTCCTTATCTCAGTCTGAGCTGCCTCTGCCACCTAAACTGGTTCATATGTACCAAATTTGATGCCTTTTTTTGAAACTCTAAAATGAAGATCTCCGTCTTGACATATGTCAAAATCTTTGACCCATCAATGCGGCACTAAATTCTGTGTCCTTGCCAGTAACGGGAAAAAGTCAATAATGTAAAATGGGTATCTCTTATGCTGTTTTAAAGCTATGCTGTCTTGATGCATCTCCAGACTCTGAAAGAGCTCTCAGTGGTAAGCCATTCTGACTGGCATTATAAGCAAGACTGATAAACAGCCTTGATTTCTAGATACAGAGCTGCATTCACATGTAATGAATAAAGGATATCAGGAGGACATGACACTAGAACATTTGCCTGCCACAAATTCCAGCTTTTGCAATTTCATTTTGAACGCTTTCAAGCTGTTTCTAAGCAGCACTGAAAATCATATTTCATTGTCATGCTAAGGAAACTGCACTTTTATGAAAAGAAGCATTGTTTAAGTCCAAAAGGATTGATCCTGTTATTCAGAAAGTCAGGGAAATTTGGAGCAGAGAAGTGGAGTGAGTCTTCTAACTTCCAGAGGTATCAAACCTAATCACTTGTTTGCTTTCTTGTTACTTCTCTCCACTGTTTTGTCAATGATTTAAAATGTTTTATTTTACTTCAACTAACACCGACTGGTTAATTCACTTGCGCTTGTTAGCAAGCAGCTTAACAGTGGAGGTACTTTGGAAGGTGTGTGGTTCGAGAGGCTGCATTACTGTAATAGAGCATCATTTAAAATACAACAACAATCTGCACCGCATTAGTGGTCAAAAGTTTCAGCCACGTTGAACACTGCTCAAGCATCTATAGGGAGGTCCTCTCTGTCTGGATACCTAGTACCTCAAAGACTTGTTATCCCTTAACAATTAAGGTTATGGCCAGGTTTAACTGTATTTCTTACTGTGTGTCATTCTCTTTCTCCTTTGTGACTTTAGTTCCCTATGAACACATCTGTCTGAAAACATTTGTCTGAAAGGGTTTTGTACACACTTGCTTTATCCCTGCCTTATCACACAACGCCTCAGCTTGCTTTCCTCACTCCAATCTCTCACCTTTCCCATGCAAGTGCAGTTTTAAACCTTTCATAAACATTGAAAAGGGGGAAATACTGAAGAAAGAAAAAAAATCCAGGGCATATATTTTGCAAAGACATTCTGGCTGCCTCACAATGTAATTTATGTGGCATTGCTGTTTATTATAATAATAAAAATCCATAAACTCATGCAGTATTATTTAAAAATGTGAAATGCATTTACTCATTATATAGAGTATTATTATACTTACTTTTAAATTAAAAAATCCTCAGGACCAATGTTAACAATGTTTTCCCCACAGGCTTGCTGTACTGGAAACATGCAGGAGTGTATAACTGGGCCTTTCACTAACAATTGTATATCCTGCAAGTAAGTCCATGAGTGAGCTTGCCACATTCTTGTAATGAAACAAAGCTCAGTTTTTGTTGGGAGACAGGATACTCTTTTCACATCTTATTAGATAATGGATGAGATGTAAAATCGGTTCTGTGGCAAAAGAACACCCCGGAGGCTGATCGGTTTGTTAGAATAAATAGGCATCTCCCAACAGAAATGCATTAAGCAGTCCCTTTTTATGGCAAAGCATGCATCATAAAGAAAAGGCATGTCACTTACAACAAAGAGCAGTTTGTGATAGTTTTATTCATTTTTTACATTCAGACATGAAAAATATAATAAAGTTTCAGTAATAAAATACAGCAACTGCAAAAATGCTGTCAGTTAACTTATACTTTGTGGCTTCATAAATATTAATAGTTATTTTGCCCTTGGAAAGGAAAGGATTTAACTTGTTCGGTCAGGATTTAACACTTTTGCATAAATTTAATATTAGTGTTTAAAATTACTGTAAGTAGTGTAATTACTAATAATAGTCACACATTCTTTTCCTTCATTTGCCAAAAAAAGACTGACAGATTACTGTGATAATATAAACAGCACATAAACTTCCTGTGTCTTTGTGTATTTAATACATATTGTTGTTACCCTTGAAAGATTCTTTGGTTAGAAAACAACCAACACAAAAAATAAATCCCAAAGGTCCCAAACCTGCCCTCTATGTTTATGCATTAAAAAGAGGATTATCAGGGAAATCCCCAAAGCACTTAAAGGGTTTAGGCACTGGAAATTAATATAACCTGTGTGTGTGCACTATGACAGGCTTCTGAATATCTGTAAAAATGTATGAGATAGGCCTAATCAGGAATCCTGAATCCAAGTGACCTCAGAGTAGGGGGTATTAAAAACCTCAATAGGGATCCAGATCCTGCTTTTAAAATCCTCCTATCTTTATGATCATTCAAACAAAAGGTAAATTCAGACCAAACTGGTCAGCTCTATGGAATTCAAACTCCACAGATGACATCTGAAGTGCCAAGAATGACTCTGAATAAAAACTAGGATGGTGAAACTGAGCTGTAGTCTCAGTTATTCCTGACTGGGCCATTTATAGTATTTTAAATGCTTTAAGTTTGGAAGTGGGAGCAGAATATAACTTTTTTTGGATGAAAGGAAAATGAGTTTGTCATTTACATGCTGTGCTGGTTGGTTTTTTGGAAACAAGATTTTGCCATTTCCTTTTTCACAACATTTCAAGGAACTGCTTTCCCTTGGATTAAGCACCACAGCTATCATTCTCTCTTTTGCGTACTGCAAATGCCTTTTCTTTGGTCTCTGATAATATCTCCCTATAGTGCTTATAAAATATTACTGTTAAAATTTTCTTTCTTCCAACTTCAATACAGTACTCCCATTCTTGAATCCCTACACAAAGCTTTGAGTTTGAGCTCCCTACTGTTATTTTAAAGTTACTCCTCAACTCAGATATTCCTTTTCTTTTTCACCCTTGCTTCCTCCCACGTGTCTACACTATAGAATGAAGGCAAGGGTGTAGTGAGGTAGTCATAGCCAAGGTTTAATCTGCAGCACCATAGGTGCACTGCTAGGGACTTATGAGTGAGCTACCAACTCAGGCACCTACCCAGATTTCTCACCAGGCTTCTTGCAATCCATGTTGAAATCTGGACTGTACGTCTTCACTACTACAGTTAATCACTATTAGCTAGACTGAAGACAGACTATGTGTGATACATGGTTTGGCCAAAGCGTATCTTCCAAAACAGACATTCACATACAGATTAAAGACATCAGGTGAGGAAAGATGCACTAATACCTCTGGTACAGTGTTTTAATGGCCCTTCAAAATCCCTGTCAAAAATTGTATCTAATGTCTACTTTGACCCTTTCTGGTTTCAGCTTCCAGCCACTGCCGCCTTCTTCGCATTTCTCTGCTAAAATAAAGTCTCTTTCAGATATCCCATATTTTCTTGCTGTGAAGGTATTTATGTACTGATATTGAGATACTTCTGAATCTTCTTTAACCTAAACAGAGAAACTCTTAAGTTTCTCACTGGTTAAGCCATTCCTCCTTCCTCTCTCCCCCAGCCCCAAATCATATTAATGGCACTTTTCTGGGGACTGTCTTGTTTTTGTCATTAATTATATTTGACTAATCTTTATACCATTGCTGTGCTGCATCAGCAGAGCCTTTATATGTACTTCTGGATCACTGTCAAGTATTGAATCGTGACAGGTTTGCTGTCAGTTCCTGTTGAATCCTGCTAGCAATACTCTGCTACACATGGATTCTTCACAGAAAACACTACTTATTTTGATCTGCCAGTTCTTAATCTACATGACCACTGCCCAGTAAGGCATCCATACTGTGTCATCTGACAATGATGAGACAATGCTGCTGCACACCTCCTAACCATGGCAGTTGGAATCTAGTCCCCTAAAGCCTTTTATTGATGTATTACAGTGATGATTTCCATATCAGAATAGTTTGTAGTTTGAAGTCTTACATAAAAAAAATTAAATTGGTTTTGTGCAATTACTTTTTCATATCAAACTTGTAATCTCATCATAGAATGAAATCAGTTTCTTCTGATATGACCTGTTGTCATTGACAAAATATTGACTAGTGTGGTGGGTTGACCCAGGCTGAATGCCTGGTGACCGTCAAAGCTGCCCTATCACTCCCCTCCTCAGCTGGATAGGAGAGAGAAAATATAATGAGAAGCTTGTGGGTTGAGGTATAGACAGGGAGAGATCACTCATAAATTACTGTCATGGGCAAAACAGACTTGACTTGGGGAAAATTAATTTATTACCAATAAAATCAGAGTAGGATAATAAGAACTAAAACCAAATCCTA